TGGTTCCCACACTTAGGTTGATGGGTAGAATTTCCTGGGCCATCTGTTTGTCCCCAGCAAAACCAGTAATGGTTGTACTGGTTGGGATTAACCTGGGATTCCTCTTCCCTAGTTTCTTCAAAGAAGATTTCGGTAGTAAATTCACCGCTGCCCCATTGTCCACTAAGACTCGGTTCAACTGTATCCCATCGAAGAAGGCCTTAATATACAAAGGCTTAACATGTTGTGCCATAGAATTCGAGGGATACTCAAAAGGATACGAGAGGTTAATACTTATCACTTCCTTACTCTCATATTCAGTTTCCATTGGGGTGACCATTCCAAAATTATCTTGTACCATACTCACTTGTGAGTCTTCACTAGAGATTGGAATTGGGTCAATTTCTTGTCCCTCTTGATTCTTATCTCCAGCTTGGAATTCATGCGGTACTATGTGTATCATGTTTACTGACACTAAGCCAAATTGGATAACTGGCTATGTCTGCTTCTCCTTTTGGCCACCTTGTTCAGTCACTCCAGAAGCATCCTCTATGCTGTTCTCTGGTACCTCATCCTTTGAATGGTCTGTCACGATTGGTTTTTCGACCAGAAATGTTTGTTCAGCCATGAAGGCTTCGAACATTTCTTTCTCAACCATTTCTTTCTTTTGGCCTAAGCCAATTTTCGCCTCTGCCTCGCTGTCACTTTCCATCAATGCCCTCTCCAATCCCGCTAAACTGGATTTCTCTCTGGCTTTTAGTTCAGAGTGAACTTTGGCCAACTGTTCTCTGCTGTAACCCATTTTGCCTTGTAGAGTTGGTTTTGGAGTATGGTCTGACTTTGGATCCTTCTTTCCTTTCTCTTTCAGGTCTCGCTGGTACTGAGTGTACCTACGCTGAATTTTTCTCCTTTGTGATCTAGAAACCACGGGGACCATATCTGGTTTCTTTGTTTTTGGATGCTTAAGCAAGACCCAATTGTTTGGAGCCACCGTAGGAGGTTTGACCATCCTACCTTGGTTTTCTACAACCTCTCTCTGGGTAGACACCTCCCTAGGTTTGTTTTGCATTACGAACCAATCTGGGACCCTAGGTACCCGCGAACATACTGACTCTGCCGTTGAACTACTTCCTTCTTTCTTCGAAACCTTCGTCGAAGCTAGCTGCGATGGCCACTACTTGATCCTGACTTCATGCTTTGGGCCTTGCTCCGGCCTTCGATGAAGGTGTTCACTTTCTACCTTGCGTGAGGCTGGTCTAGGGGACCAATCTTTAGCTTTAATCCCATAAGCTGAACTTTTCTCTAACCTCCTCCTAGAATGACTGCTTTCCATTCTGTAATAATTAGCTGGCCTGGATTTATGTAAAGGCTTCTTGCCTTTGAAATGCATCATGTCAATTGTTGGTTCATCCCTCAATGGCTGCTGCTTGACGCCAGATGGATATGGCCTTTTATTGTAAGCATTGGTTGGTTTAGGACATCTCTGCATATCCTTCACATCCTTGTAGTATTGCTTCCCATCAATCGGGAGTCCTTTCAACCATTTGTAGTTTAGTCTGCACCTAGGACACATTCTCTGCATTACAGCTGCTTCTAAGGAATCGTCATCCAGTGCTTCTTCCTCAGAGTCTTCCCTTTGGTGCGAGAAACCTTGTCCAATAGCCGGCAGATTTCCAGTGTCTTTCTTGATTGTTGTCTGGTTGGCCACATGCATCTGCACATTGACTTCTTCCAATTCTTTCAAAGATAGGTTATGAAAATCTGGCATAATGACATTGGCTGCCACCTCTCCAATTTCTGGAAATGGATTACTGTCGATCCCTATGGCCTTTTCAGTTTTGGCTGGGAATTTCAAACTCCCTTTCCGAATTTGTTCTTGGATCCTGTCTCGAAAAACAACACAGTTTTTAGTCGAGTGAGACCAAGAATTATGCCATTTACAATATACTTTCCCTTTAAGTTCATCAAGATATGGAATTTTAACCCCTTTCGGTAACTTAAGGAAATTGGCCGCGGGCAAATGATCAAAGATGTCATCTGCTTTAGTTAAATCGAAAGAGTATTTTCTGTGAAGGTCTTTCTTTTTAAACTGCTGGTCAATTGTTGTATCCTTATGAATCAATGCTTCACAGATCACAGGTTCTTTCCCCACAATCTCTGCTGCATCAATCTCATAGTTAAGATCTTTGTAGTATGTCTTGTATGATGTATTATTTCGATCTTGCTCCTCTTCTAGTAATGCTTCATATCTAGATACTTTGTAAGTCAGTTCCATTAAGTCCATGAACTCTGTTGAGTCAAACTTCTTTCAAAGCCTAAACTCTAAACCATTTTGAACCAATCTTACGAATTTTGGCTCTGGCAAAATGACTCTACATTTATTTCGAGCCCTTTTAAATCTGGCAATAAACTGAGTAGCCTTCTCTTCAGGCCTTTAACTCAACCTTGCCAGGTCTGCCATGAAAACCTCTGGCTCCGATTGGAAGAATTGGGCATGAAATGCCTCTTCCATTTGTTGCCAAGTTTGGATTGAGCCAGGTGTAAGGTTAATGTACCATACAAATGCTCCCCAGTTAGAGAGTTTGAGAATAGTCTTAGCTTCATATAATCATTATTAGTGAATTCACCGCATTGAGCAGTGAACCTAGCGATGTGCTCTACTATTGACTGGTTTCCATTCCCATAAAAAAGGGCGAAATCTGGTATCCTGAAGCTTCTTGGGTATTCATATACTCTATCTACCCATTCTGGGTATGGTTTTCTGTATATAGGAGTCTGGACCCCCCGAGCCATTGGTCCACACATCTCCTTAACGATGTCAGCAATTTGGTCCCTAGGGACCACATATTTTAATGGCCTGCTGAACCACCGCTGAAGGAACAAACACAGGATTTGATGGACAAACTTGTGCTTGTGGTCCTCTTGGTCCATAAGATGGCATGTTTGGGACTGGTTGTCACTGTGGTGCAGGTTGCTGTTGGGGGTGTGGGTAACCCCTTTGAATTTGTCCTACAAAAGGACCTGCGAAAGGTGCTGGAACTGGTGTTATGTCTCTTCCATTTGTAGGAAAACCTTCCAACCCCCCGGGTATAAATTCGAATAAGGGATTAGTGAACCCCCTTGTGCCAGGTATGGCTTCAAACATGGGATTTGGAACCATTCTTATGCCATTTTCTTGTACTGGACCAGTTCCATCAAATTGCATGGCTTCACTGTTAAGTACTGAGACATTTTGACCTACTACAGGCCTTGGAACAAGTTTGTACCAAGACTGAGGTGATGGTCTTTCATGGTTCTGATTACTAGTTTGACCATTAGAATGTCCATTAACTTGCATAGGATAAGGTTATTTATTCGATCCAAAAAAGGATGTTGCCCACCTTTCCATTGTGTTCATTAATTGCTGTCCCATTGCATCTATTAAGCCTCCCTATGGATTCATTGACTGAGTAGATGGGACAGTGGATGGTCCAATTCCTTGGTCTCGTCCAATATTACGAACATGTGGTATTTGTTCTGAAGTACTGGTCTGTTTGACCATATATTCTGATAAAATGAGAGTTTCCACAGGATGTGTTATCACATTATCCTCTGGATTAGGTATCTCTACCTCTCCTTCCACGCCTTCCTCCAAGCTTTCATTTTCTACTTATCTTCTACGTCTAGCCATTTTAAATGTAGTCACACTGGGCGTGCCAAAAATATATGTTGACTTTTTGGCTTCCGAAGGTTATTGTTGTAATTGCGAGCGTGCCAGCAAGGATCAATTAGTCCTTACAGAAAATTAATTGCCAACCAATCATCAGACGATTGTGTTTTAGTTCTTTCAGCCTCAATGAATAGGACTTTTACTGGTGGCTTGATTTTGGAGAATTAAACAGATAACAATGAATTGAAAAACAGTCGAAGTATTTCATTAAGATGAAAAGACTTACAATGATCCAAACTCAGCCTCGTAGAGGTTTACAGCAACTCTACTTGGAACTACTCCTATGAAACGAAGTGCAGTGCAGGAATTTTAAAGTACAGTAATATAAAGAACTGTAAATGTAAAAAAAAACTGTAAATGTAAAGCTGGAAAGGAAAATAAGTATAAAGGACTGGTTTTTTGGATCTGAGTCTGGGTGGCTTTTTCTGGGGCCTTCTCTACTATTTATATTGCTCCAGGATGACCATTGAATTGCATTTCCAACCGTCGAACTGCTCCTCCATGATCATCGATCATTTTGCCCCAATATTAGCTCCATTACGCCATTACTTGCAATTAAGCTTCCCTCCTAAATTTGAATCTGAAATGCGAGTAACCGTTGAGGCCACGTCACTTTGTATCTCTTTGTTGATCCGCTGCTACTCAGATCTCTTAATAACCAACACTAGCTGCCACGTGTACGATCAGGATCGAGGACCTAAATAGTCTTCCTATATTACCTTTATTTCGCCACGCGTCGAATTATAATTGGCTTGTACAAAATATGTAGCCAACAACTATATTCCGCTCACATTAATCCTATACACTTTGTTGATGTAATTTTTTTTATTTGTTTTGGTGATGTTTGATTGTTCGACTGATTTGGTCACCCTAGTCTGCTAATATAGCGCACAAATATAGCAGGGGAAGACGACTGTTTGTAATTTCACACTTGTACACTTTAATTTATTTTCTTCTTTTATTTTGGTTTACTAAATTTCATATTGTGATAACTGAATCAATTTGGTATTTTCTCTAGTTCACAGAGATTGAAAGCATGTAATTCTCCTTTTGAATAAACCAAATCTCTTAAGATGTGGGATCCCAGAAACAATCACAATTTTCATTCTAATGGTTTTTTAAATGATCTTTTTGCAATAATATGACCTTAAAATTGTAAATTCAAAAATATTGATAACTTTAATTTGTAATGTGTCCTCTAAAGGTTTGAAAGGAACTCAGATTTTAGTCGAAGATGACAGTTTAATTGGATGCTTCATGGGTTAATTAATTGATATGGACATAAACAATGTATTTTGGAAACTTGATGCAGGTTAAGTTATGTGTGGATGAGAATATTCCTGTTATTCCTATCCCTGGTCCTTCTGCTTTTGTTGCTGCACTTTCTGCCTCAGGTTTGGCTACTGACAAGTTTACATTTGGTAAGTTGCTCATGAATTCGACACCCGTAGTGTCGGCAACAATTTGGTGATAGTGGTAGGCTAGTAGCTAATATCATATGTATTGTTGGTTGTCTGTAGTTGGATTTCTGCCCAAACATGCCGGATCAAGGAAGGAGAGGTTGATTGTATCTGCAAAGGAAGTAGCAACACAGATATTCTATGTTCCTCCTCATAAGCTTCATCAATTTATTGAAGAGGCTTCTTCTATTTTTGGTGACTGTAGGTAAATATTTGAGGAAGATCTTTATCATATCTTAGGATCATAATAGGAGTTTTCAAGTCTTTGGGTAAGTGCCACATCAACAAAAACAAAAAGAATCTTAATCTGTGTTTCCTTTCGTATGATTTTTTGAGATAATCGTAGACCATTTTTTTTCTTCTGTGTATATAAGTTTTAAAGAGTATAGCCGAATACATATTCATCATATCTTTGATACATATAGTGTATCATAGAACAAGCAAATAGCAGTTCTTTTGATAAAATGTATACTGAGAATATTTATCAGCCAAATACATCTTCTTTAAAATCTTTTTGTTGACTTGAATACACTTTGAAAAATAGTAGAGGGACTAGAAAATTCTTTTTAATATAAAAAATTTATGTTACAGTATCTCTGATATGATTTAAGTTTCATTTTAAAATGTTTTCATTGGGTATTTATGTCTTGGATGACTACTAAATTAGTTACATAAAAAATGAGGATGTGTGTGAACTTATCATGGCAGCTTGTTAAGCACATGCCATGGTCTTGCCCTTTCTTGTTCTTAATCTAGTAAGAGATGGACATGTCTAGGTCCAGTCCAGTCTGTTTCAGAGGGCAAGCTTCTTTTTTCTTTAAACATTGGCATTATAGTGTTATGTTCTATGTGTTCTTTAGGCATTTTGTTTTGTTCTTGTAGTTCTAAGAGATCACAACTCTGTGCAACACATGAAGGATTGCTGAGAAGTAATCATCATTTTCTTGGATCAAGCAAAGCTAAAGTATTGTGAATTTAATTTTGAGAACTATTTCAAGCAAACTATATCTATTAACACAGTAAAAATTCATTTACTATATCTATTCAGAGATATCACTTGATAGGGATTGGTGAGCTTATTAGTCGACCCTTTGCTTTGGTCCTTCATTTACTCTGATGTATTTTCATCTTTTAAATACCTGGATTAATGAATGTTCTCTAGTATTCCAGGTACAGTAGGAAAAATGACGTTGGAAACTCTTGGTATTGGGACAAATGTTTGCATGAAAGAATTAGATATTCAACCAAATTAAATGAAGTTTGTATATGTTGTTGGGGTTGTGCACACAAATCCATTCACCATTTCTGTCTATAAGCTCTATCAAGAGCTAGATTCTCCATTGTTTTATAGGCCCTTGCTTAGTTCCTCATCACTTCAAGCCACATTCTTCTTGACCTTCTTGACATCTTTGTGTTGCCTTATGTTAAAGTTAAATCACTTATTACATCAAAATAAGAAGGAATAAAAGTCAATCCTAATAAGTTTTCACTATAATGCAGTTGCAGTCATAACTCACTCGAGAACTGTATAAATGTGTTGTCATAGATTCCCCAGGGCACCGCACTGGGGCAGGAGGCGGGAAGAAGGGTCTAACTAAATAAATTTTGGTTTATAAATTTACTTTTATTGGCAGTGCAAGATTTTGGCTCCTATGTTTTCTATATATTCCTATCATTTCTTCTCCATTTGACCAAAAGATGCACACTGCCTGAGGATTGGTTATGACCGTTGTTTTGATGTGTTGCAGACAATGTGTCATAGCTCGAGAGATGACAAAAATACATGAAGAGGTGGGTTTGTATTTTAAGTTATTTGCCATAGCTTCTCTTCTCTTTGATAATCGTTGTTGGTTGCACATGGTTTTTCTAGAAATTCACTATGTTGCTGGTTATATACCCTGCAAATCTGGGATGCATTTATGAAGTCAGTGGTTTCTCCCAATTGACACCCTTCAGAATATTTAGTCCCATCTTTTACTTGACTATAATATTACAATGATAGTCTTTTAATGACTTAGACACGTTAGTATGTTGTGACAATCATGGTTTGTAAGTGGATAAACATATTTTCACTGCTGGTCATGTCAGCATGTATGCAGGTGTTGTTCTCTTATAAATTTGATTTACTAATATAGATCATGCCTTTATAGTTTTGGCGTGGAACTTTGGAAGAAGCCAAAGGAGCATTCTTGACTCGCCAACCAAAAGGAGAAATCACATTCTTGATTGAAGGAAAGGCAAATTGTGTGGTGGAAGCTCCATCCGAGTCTCAGCTTGAGAATGAACTGAGAGAGTTGATCTCTGGAGGGCAATGTCTTTCTTCGGTATTGGATTTTTTCTGTTTGCAGTGTATATTTAAATCTGTTAAGAGTTGAAACTAATGGTTGCATTTGCAGGGTCACTTGCTGGCATCCTTCCCACTATGTGTATCATTTCACACGAATATGAAGGAAATTGATGTAGTGATGCGCATTTTGGACTTTTATTGGTCATTAGGAGCTTATAATAACTACTAGTGTATAAGTGCTTCTATGAGTTTGCAAAGGGGTATTGTTCGTGAAACCAAAATGTTAATCTAATCTGTTCTATGAGTAGGAACAGATTAGACTAGGTAAAGTTTAAACTTGTGGCATAATTTGAGGGGTTGATTAAATCTAAGGAGAAAGGAATGTGGAATGTGGTATCATGCTTGCCATATAAAACTTCCCCTTAATTTTTCACTACTTCCACGTCACACATCACTCCAGAAGCACTTATTTATATCGATCCTAGTCTTATTCTATGGGAATGTCCTATGTGACATTGACTCGGCTACAAGTACTAGGGGTGTATGTGTGTGTGTCTAAGCATTAGACCTTTGTAAATCTAAATCTAAGGATATAGGGATATGTATCCAAAAGTTGGAAATGAGAACGAGGACTCGTCATGGACACATATATTGCATATTGTATAATATTCTTGAATAAGATTTGGTAAATTATGTAAAAATGTACTTGAAATTAAATAGAATTTAGAGAAAATACAGAATTTTCATCTCTTATCTATGTTAGAGCTACAAATGTTTCTTTACTAGCTAATGTGAAATTCTTATTCTTCAAATATTGTAAAAAGTTTGAGGATTTGGGCATGGCTGTCAGACACATGTCCTACAAGTACACCTTTATCTTTGTCATATCCGGTAGACATGGATACTTCAGAAGAAGTGGAAGAGTCCATGTAACATAGGGAATGTCCTCTGCATTCTTTCTTTTCTTGTGGACAATAATAGATAAAAGATATTGGAAATGGTCATTTTTAAGTCTTAGCCGCCGAGTTTTATCAGTCTCATTCCTACATTTAATTTTGCTAAATTTATACGCCACAGATTCTTATTCTGCCAAAGCTTTAGATCCTATGTTCTAACTTTAAAATAATTTATTTGTTTTCTCAAACTTAAATCATGTTGCTAACCATTTAACGAACAACATAGGAATTCTCTTGGATATGCTTAGTAAGTTAGCCAATTCCAAAAATAAGGTGTTTAGTACCAATTTTTTGATGATGTAAAGCCTATTTGCTATATTTATTTGGTATGGCAGAGGTGAGATTGTATGCTTTGGCCAATGGTCTACATTAAATGTTCAAGCTAAATCCTGTCTTATTCTTCACTGGTTTGTGAGAATATATGAAGTGATTGATTTCATCGAGTGAATTGTCAATGTGATAATTGCATTGTTGGCTTGAAGTGAAACTTCTCTTTTTGGATGTTAGAGAAAAGCATTGGCTACAATTTGTTTGATTTTTGAAAATAAGATTCCTGTCTGAAGGAAGATTGATCTGTTAGTTGTATGGGAAATTTGACCCAATGAACAGTTATTTTGCTGTGGGCTAGCCTTTCATAAGTACATTGTCTTCTACATTAATATTATTTTTTAACCAATTACTTTTATGATTACATGCATCTAGGCAGTCAAGTTGGTTGCTGGAGGACATTCCATGCGAAGAAAAGAGATATATTCACTTGCACTAAGGAAATTTGGGAAGCTGGTTGATAAGGAGAACTGATGCAGATTATGTTGTAATTCTCACTGCTTTTATGACTTCTTTTTGCCTGTCATTCAAGATTTCAAAGTCCATCTCCCTACAATTTTTGCTGGCACTTGATCCTTTTGGTTGTTGATGGCAACTGCAGCACGCAAATCCCTGTCTCTTTTCTCGTCTTCCACATTGCCCTTTGTTTTTGGATAATGCATGGCCATATGGGTGTTTAAGGTGTGAATAATGCAAAAATAGTTAAAATTCCGATGCACTTTCTATGTATTCTTAAACATTTTACACATTTCTATACACTTTTTATACATTTTCTACACTTTTTACACATACATTATGACTGACGATCACCCATTGTGGTCATTAGCACATCTCTTGTTCGCTTTATTTATTTCAAAGGACTCCTTTTTTATATTATATTCTCTTGCTCCTCCATCTTTGTTATATTGTATTCTCTCTCCTTTTTTACTCTTATATGTTTCTATTTTTACTTTCATCTGTTTTCAGGTTCTGCTTGTGTACATAGGGTTGAATTAGGCCTTGTTATTTTGGTGAATAGGCAAAAAAAGCTCGGTTGAGAGTACTCTACTAGTGTCTGGGTCTTATTCCATCTCAAACTCGGATTAAGAAGTGTGTGATCCTTTGACACCAAGGATAAGAGCTTATTATAAGTGCTGACTCTATGAAGGGAATCTATAAAGAAGCATGGAGTCAACAAGTTCAGCTGATAAATTAATAGGACTTTTTAACTGTGATAAGTAATTTTTACATGATTCAATAACCGACTGTTTTGAAACACAAGAACGTCAGAGTGCAAAAAATGTTGTGAGTAAAGCTTGCCATGTTTTTTATTTTTTTTAAAATTTTAATTTTACCCTCTTATATCTATTATATTTTTTTAAGTCATGAATAGTTTTATATAAATCAATTATCTCTTTATTTTTGGAGTTGAATATTCAAAAATGATATATTTATTTCTAAGAGTCTTATATAAATGTAAACAAACCTCCGTCCTTTTTATATATATAAAAAAAATTGTCTCTTTATCATTTACATTGATGATGATGGAAGAATAAAAAACAATAGTTTGTTTGGTTTTGGTTTTCAGAAAATATTTTTTAGAAAATCTTACTTTTTTTTATTTTTTGTATATATATTTTTTTTATTTTCAATGATTTTTTAATTATTATTTTTAGTATTTTTTTTTAAATTTTTAGACACACTTAACATAAATACACTTAAAAAGTACAATATTTGTGAAAAAAAAAATCTTTAAAAAATTCATTAAATACACAAATACAAAAATTTAGTATATATTTTCCTTTTTTTTTGGTATTTATTAATTTTTTTAAATATTTTTTCACAAATATTTTACTATTTAGATACATTTAAGTAAAGGTGTATGTAAGAAAATATATAAAAAAAAAATTACTTAACGAGCGTGCCCCTCGGTTAATGTGGCATTGTTTTGCAGGGCCAGTTCTTTTTTTGGAAACGTTGCTCATTCCGGTTTGGCTAATTTTGATGATACATTCAAATACATTTCAACCATTGTGAGGTAGGGTTTTCGAATTTGAATGTGTTTCTTCCTTGCTGACGGTTGTGTGACACACCCCCAAAGATTCGGAAAGAAGGTGGTGGTGATGGGTAATGGCAGCGGTGGTGTCTGCTGTGCTGTCTGTGTGAGAGAGAGTCGATGCTGCCTTCCTGTGTGTGTGTCTATCCCCTCCATTTTTTTTAATCCCTCACCAGAGAGAGACATATATTTTGTGTGTTTTTCGACTAGAGAGAGAGAGGTCTGTGTTGATCTTTTTCACTCCCAAAATCCACCGAGAGAGAGAGAGAGAGAGAGAGAGAGAGCCAGTAGATGCATGCGTGTTGATGTCCCAGTCTGTGTTGTGTGTATTGTGTGCGTTGTGTGTGCTGTGTGTGTGTATCAGTGTGTGTGTGTGTGTGTGCGCGTGCGTGTATCAGTGTGTACATGTAGATGCATGTGTGTTGATGTCCCAGTTTGTGCCGTGTGTGCTGTGTGCGTTATGTGTGTGTGTATCAGTGTGTGTGTGTGTGTGTGCGCGTGCGTGTATCAGTGTGTACATGTAGATGCATGTGTGTTGATGTCCCAGTTTGTGCCGTGTGTGCTGTGTGCGTTATGTGTGTGTGTATCAGTGTGTGTGTGTGTGTGTGCGCGTGCGTGTATCAGTGTGTACATGTAGATGCATGTGTGTTGATGTCCCAGTTTGTGCCGTGTGTGCTGTGTGCGTTATGTGTGTGTGTATCAGTGTGTGTGTGTGTGTGTGCGCGTGCGTGTATCAGTGTGTACATGTAGATGCATGTGTGTTGATGTCCCAGTTTGTGCCGTGTGTGCTGTGTGCGTTATGTGTGTGTGTATCAGTGTGTGTGTGTGTGTGTGCGCGTGCGTGTATCAGTGTGTACATGTAGATGCATGTGTGTTGATGTCCCAGTTTGTGCCGTGTGTGCTGTGTGCGTTATGTGTGTGTGTATCAGTGTGTGTGTGTGTGTGTGCGCGTGCGTGTATCAGTGTGTACATGTAGATGCATGTGTGTTGATGTCCCAGTTTGTGCCGTGTGTGCTGTGTGCGTTATGTGTGTGTGTATCAGTGTGTGTGTGTGTGTGTGCGCGTGCGTGTATCAGTGTGTACATGTAGATGCATGTGTGTTGATGTCCCAGTTTGTGCCGTGTGTGCTGTGTGCGTTATGTGTGTGTGTATCAGTGTGTGTGTGTGTGTGTGCGCGTGCGTGTATCAGTGTGTACATGTAGATGCATGTGTGTTGATGTCCCAGTTTGTGCCGTGTGTGCTGTGTGCGTTATGTGTGTGTGTATCAGTGTGTGTGTGTGTGTGTGGGTAGGTGGGTGTGTGTTGAAGCCATCAGTGTGTGTGTGTGTGTGCGTGTATCAGTGTGTGCGTGTGATGCGCTGGGTGTGTCTTAGAGAGAGAAGAGAGAGCTGGGTTTGGTGTGTGCTCTGTGTGTGTGTGTGTGTGTGCACACACACACACGTGTTGTGTGTATGAGTGTGGCTGCTGGGTGTGTGTGTTAATGGTGTTTTGTGTGCATGGTGTCTTGTGTCTGCTAGAGAGAGGAGATATGTGTGTGGCTGGGTCTTCACGTGAGAGAGAGAGAATGCTGAGAGAGATGAGTGAGTGTGTTGCAGAATGGGTTAACCTTGACGGGTTGTGAGACACACACGCGTCACACCCAAAACACGCCTAGCAGCCGCATCTGACTAATAACGTCTAAATGAGGGTAATTACGTCCCTCAGAATTTCCCAGGACTGAACGGTTTACTAGAATAAAAATGGGACCAATTGGTTCATAAGTTTACATTTTGGGATTTATTGGTAAATCTCCCAAAATAAAAATGGGAGAAAATAAAAAGAAGAGAGAGATGAAGGTGGGATCATGGGATCATGGAAGGATGTGTGAGAAAAGGAAAAAGTAAGAGAGATGAAGGTGGGATCATGGAAGGATTGGTGAGAAAAGGAAAAAGTAAGAGAGATGAAGGTGGGATCATGGGATCATGAAAGGATGGGTGAGAAAAGGAAAAAGTAAGAGAGAGAAGCGGGAAAATAGAAAATGTACATGTAGGATATTTTTTGAAAAATATATCTCAACCGTTATTTTATAAATTGAATAGATCTGAGCCGTTCAAATGTCCCAGTAGGACAAATGTGTGTAAGACAAATTCAAAAATCATCCTGCTTTATTATATAGATATAAAAAAAATATAAATATAAATTTATATATGTTATAGTATTCATACATTGTCAATCTATAATGCTATATTACCATTGGATACTTTAATTTTCTAACATGTATCGCTTTAGTAATATAGTTATGTTTGCTAGGAAAAAACTGCGAAATTATGTATTGTTCTCTTATCAATTTATGTTCAATACATATATACATACATGCAATACAAACAAATGTCTACAACAAACACTTTCAATAACAAATCAAGATTTTGCAAAACAACTCCATCACGACAATAATTGTATTTTTTTCCCCTCATAGAAAAAATACATTATTGAGAGAAAATGAATTTTGAAATTCATAACAATATGATATCGCTTCAAACTTTTACTCGTCAAAATATTTTTATTACAATGAGTTAGAATGGTGACTAAAAAAAAAAAAAGAAGATGATGAAACAAAAATTACAAAATATTTATTGCAACATGCTCTTCAAGTAAAGTTAGACGAGTTAAAGTAGGAATTATCTTATCTGTTGTGAAGTTCAAGAAAAATAATGTACCCCATGCACACATTTTAGTCTTATTATAAGGGAAAAAATCAAATGATACCCAAACATTATCGATACAATTTAACGATACAGAAAGTAAGTACATCAAATAAAAAGTTTTGATCAAATTTTGTCATATGCTGATTACTTACAGATGACATAATAAATTATGTAAATTGACAGTTTCATAAAAGTGACATTACAAACACTTATAAGTATAGATCTATAAATATCGTGAAAACAATTGTAGAATTCCTATATCGATCGAAATATTAAGTTACAATATCATTCCATTTTCTTAAAAAAACTATTCCATGTTTTCTACGTAAATGAAAATATACTAATGACTAATGTTATATTTTTCATCATGTAAGATATTCGTGGTACAAGGAACGAAACTTGTGGGGACATATTTTGTAAATGATAGCACGTGGCCAAGGTGACGCCGAAGTGTCAACCGATGTGCCACGTGGCCTGGTCTTGATGCCGAGGTGATCTCTGCTAGGCCCAGGTTATCTGCGGAGATATCGGAATTCGAGATAAGTAGATAAGGGACAAGAATCCTAAAGTAGGGAAGGATCTCAGTTTGGATAAAGATAAAGCTCTTAGGGAGTTTATTCCTATCTAGCTGAGAGTCCAGGATGAGCATTGAGCTTGAGTCCACCAAAGTGAGGCTTTTACAGGGATCAAGTCAGTGCTGGCTATAAAAGCAGGGTACCCCTATGGGTCTCAGGTATATGTGATATACTGTGAGCAGTAAGTTCTTTTCTAGTGAGTTTTGAGTACTCTTTGCTATCTTTGAGAGATATTGATTACTGATTTGATTGTCGGAGTGCTCCTAGGTAGACGAACCATCGCCGGATTCTTATCTTCTTGTGCAAGTTGTTGGGCTTAATTTATTCTGTCGGTGCTCTCCAACTGAGCTCCTCGTTTGGTTGTGTGGTCAAAAATCAACACCCACAATTTGGCGTCGTTTGTGGGAACTTAAGGAGAATAGATGGCCAACAACGGGCAAGGAAAAGATTATGGACGATGTCCCAGGTGGGAGTGGTAAACATGCCGATCCTAACATCGAGGAAGAAAACCATAATGAAGGAGCACAGGATCGGAATCCCGAGGATAAGGACGTCGGTAAAGAGGGAGATGCCCCAGAGAAGTCAGGACGAGATGAGTGTTACAACAAAAGCAACCTCCAGGTATCGAAGGATAGATGCTTGAGGAGGGATGACGAGAGATGAAGGGAATGGCCAACAAGTTGACAGATCTACAGTCGGTTGTCAACTTCATGATGTAGAACAATGTCATGCAACCACCGTTTCCGTTGCAAGACACGCCGATGCCAAGGGCCAAGATTGATGCCCAGAAAGGAGGGTAGAAAACAATCCCAGTAGTCCTGCGGCATGCTAGGGAAAAAGAGCCCTCACATCGGCCTTTACGGGATGTCGGGCGAGGAGAGTCGGTCAAAGGTGACTCGTAGAGGACACCTCGTACCAGGGGAACATATGTCAAAGAACCCCGGAACATCCAGGGAAAGGGCCGGTGTTTTGATATGGTGAATGAAGAGAAGTCCAAGAGGACACATAACGACATCGGGAGTAGCGCACCAAAAAGACTGAAATCTGTTGACAGCCGAGCTCCTGGTCGGA